CACAGTGCTGGGAACACAGTAAGTGCTCGATCAATGTCTGCTGATAAATGGGCCTTTCCAAAGCATCAGCCTGAGGCCCCTGCCTGTTTCCAACCCTTCCATGGCTCTCATCTCCTGCAGGATGAAGTCCCAGCTTCTGCACACCCTGCTGGGGTGATCTCAGCTACTGGACATCTTGGTGGGTCTGTCCAGGGTTATAGGGATTTGCACTCACTTGAAGAGGCTCAAAAATCCATAGGTTTCCAGGCACATGCCCAGGAGGGGCCAGCGCAGGAGCACGATGGCCACACCCCCCAGGAAGAAGCTGGTCCCCTTGAGCTTGTGCCGCTGGAAGAAGAAGGAAAACGTTTTCCTCAGGCCGATGATGAGGGAAAGGCCAGTCAGGAGCAGCAGCTGTGGGGAGGGAGAGCGAACCACACCCCCCAGGAAGAAGCTAGTCCCCTTGAGCTTGTGCCGCTGGAAGAAGAAGGAAAACGTCTTCCTCAGGCCGATGATGAGGGAAAGGCCAGTCAGGAGCAGCAGCTGTGGGGAGGGAGAGCGTGTGAGAGCAAACACGGCAGCCCGCGGGAGGCAGGGCCAGGCCTGCAGGCCGGGGCGGGAGAGGCACGACAAGGACAGGTCTGAGGGTCCCTCGTTCCTACCCGAGTCACTGGATCCCAAGCACTTCTTCATACCTGACTGCCTTTCTCATCACACCTCCCAGGGAAGGTGGATAGAGAGCGAGATTCTCTTCATTTCACAAAGGGGAGGACGGAGGCCTAAACAGGTGACGCAGCCATGCCGAGCCACAACCCCATCGGGGGCTCTACAGCCCACAGGGTGATCCTCCAGGCCCCCCACACATGGCCCTGTCACTGCTTCAGCCTGGCTCCTGGCGGTCCTGTAAGAGAGCCCAGGCTCCCGCCAGATCTAGCCCTCTGTCTCTCTGCCAGGGTGTCCACGCTTTCCTCTCCTCCTCCACACCTTTTCCCTCCCCGAAAATGCATTTCCCCCCCCTCCACACCCACTTCCTTTCCAAATTCCTTCTCAACCTTCTCCAGTTGGGTGTGCTCTCTTTCCTCTAAGCCCCCTGGTTCATATGAAATGTGTCTGTCTTGTGACTTGACCACTGCCCCACCCGTGTATATAATGTTATATCCTGTCCTGAGATGGTGGGGTTCGATGGCAGGGACAGTGTCTGACTCACCTGGGAATACAGAGTGTGGCGTGAGAATTCAGGGCCTCAGATTCTCTTTGCCAGAGGCTCTAATCTCTACCCCCTGCAGCCCTCGTCTGCCCAGGCTCGATGACCCCTGACCCCCAGGTGGACATGATCTGAATGAACTTGGGGCTGACCTTCCTGGCAATAGACGGTTGGGCAGGGGAGGTACACAGAGCTGGGGGACTCACGTTTCCAAAGGCCAGGAGCACTGAGTCAAAGTACAGGAGTATCCCAAAGAGGATGAAGAAGATGCCAAAACCGGTGATGCCCACACCAATCTCTGCAATGGGCAAGGAGGTCACGGTGAGATACGGTTTGGGGAACAGGCTGGGACCCTGAGACTCTCCCCCATGGCCACAGGATGGGTGCCCTCTGGAGGATGGCCCCATTTCTGTCCAGGAACCTCAGCTTCCGTGCTCTCAGGGAGGGTGGACAGGAAGGGAAAGGAAGGACGGGCAGGAACCTCTGACTGGCACCTGGCATCTGTGCTGGCCACTTCTATACAGGACGCATGCTGTCTAACACAGCCCTGGGAAGAAGCTAGTCCCACTCTCTATGTTCTGCATCCTCCTGCCTTCAGATGCCACGTTATCCAGATCACGAGCAGGTTGGGTCCCTGGCTGGACACAACCAACTGCCTCGTGCAGTGAGAACCGTTGGGGCCCTATCCACGTGGGGTAGAAGGGTACCCTGAAAACTCATGACCTCCACCCCAAAAGACTCAGAACCGCCCAGCTGTCTTGCTCTGTTTCTCAAGAGGCTTGCTCTTCTAAACAACTCTTTACACTGTCTCCTCTCTCCTCAAAACTGCCCTGTCCCCTGCTCTCAGGTGATGACCTTTCACATTTAATTGGGAAAATAGAAGCCACCGGTCAGGAATGTGCTCATCTTCCCACTGGGGAAGCACAGCCCGGCCTGCACCTGCTCGCCTGTTCTCCCTCCCTCCTGCAGCAGCTGCCGGGGGGCCCGCCTCCCACCGCTCGGCCTCCTCTGATTTCAGCCCCAGTGGTGCTGGGCATTTCTGCACGAGGTTGGACCCAGCGTGTCTCAGGGCAGGCTTTGAAGCTGTAGGAGTTCGCTCAGAGCCAGCCAGCAGGGCACAGAAGTGCAGGACAGTATGACCCTCTTATTGGGTCAAAGGCTACATTTTTGACATTTTGATACATAGTTCAGATCACTCCCCTTAAGAGCTGTACAAGAACAGGATGCGGAGTTCCTTTTTTTGTTACCCCTCTCCATCACACAGAATTGTTAATTTTACTTATCTTTGCCACTATGATAATCAACGAATGAAAATTCATTGTGTTGCTTCATTTTTTTAAATTAAATTTCTAATTTTTAAATTGTGGTAAAATGCACATAACATAAAATTTACCATCCTAACCATTTTTTTTTCCTTTTTGTCTTTTTTACTGACCGGTAACGGGATCGCAACCCTCGGTGTCGCGCCCGTACCAGGGACCGGCAACGGGATCGCAACCCTCGGTGTCGCGCCCGTACCAGGGACCGGCAACGGGATCGCAACCCTCGGTGTCGCGCCCGTACCAGGGACCGGCAACGGGATCGCAACCCTCGGTGTCGCGCCCGTACCAGGGACCGGCAACGGGATCGCAACCCTCGGTGTCGCGCCCGTACCAGGGACCGGCAACGGGATCGCAACCCTCGGTGTCGCGCCCGTACCAGGGACCGGCAACGGGATCGCAACCCTCGGTGTCGCGCCCGTACCAGGGACCGGCAACGGGATCGCAACCCTCGGTGTCGCGCCCGTACCAGGGACCGGCAACGGGATCGCAACCCTCGGTGTCGCGCCCGTACCAGGGACCGGCAACGGGATCGCAACCCTCGGTGTCGCGCCCGTACCAGGGACCGGCAACGGGATCGCAACCCTCGGTGTCGCGCCCGTACCAGGGACCGGCAACGGGATCGCAACCCTCGGTGTTGCGCCCGCACCGCGCTCAGCCAGTGAGCGGGAACCGGTCTCCACATGGGATCCGAACCCTCGGCGGGAGTGCCGCCGCGCTCCCAAGCGGTGCACTCTCCAGTGCGCCACTGGGCCAGCCCCTAACCATTTTTAAATGCACATTTTGGTGGTATTAAGTACACTCATATTTTTGTGTTATCATTACCACTCTCCATCTCCAGAACTTTATCATCTTGCAAAACTGAAACTCTCTACCCATTAAACAGTATCTCTCCCCTCTCGCCAGCCCCTGGCAACCACCATTCAGCTTTCTGTCTCTATGAATGTGACTCCTCTAGGAACCTTTAATAAGTGGAACCACACAATATTTGTCTTTTTTGTGACTGGCTTATTTCATTTATCATCACATTCTCAAGGTTCCTCCATGTTGTAGCATGTGTCAGAATCTTCTTCCTTTTTAAGGCTGAATATGTATGTATATAGCACTTTGTGTTGATCCATTCATCTGCTGATGACATCTGAATTGCTTCTACCTTTTGGCTATTGTGTATAATGCTGCTGTGAATATGGGTGTAAAAAATCTCTCTTCAAAACCCTGCTTTCCGGGCCGGCCCGGTGGCGCACTGCTACAGTGCGCCGCTTGGGAAGCGCGGCGGCGCTCCCGCTGAGGGTTCGGATCCCACATACAGACCGGTTCCCGCTCACTGGCTGAGCGAGGTGCGGGTGCAACACCGAGGGTTGCGATCCCATCGCCGGTCTCGGTCCGGTACGGGCGCGACACTGAGGGTTGCGATCCGTTGCCGGACACGAAAAAAGACAAAAAGGAAAAAAAAAAAAACAAACCCTGCTTTCAGTTATTTTGGGGTATATACCCAGACATAGAATTGCTGGATCATATGGTAATTCTATTTTTAATTTTTGAGGAACTCCCATATGTTTTCCATAGTGGCTGCACCATTTTACATTCCCATCTGCAGTGCTCAAGGGTTCTAATTTATCCACTTCCCTGCTGATGCTTTGTTTTCTGTTTTTTCGATGGCACCATGCTAATGGGTATGAGGTGGTATCACATTATGATTTTGATTTGCACTTCCGTAATTATTAGTGACATTGAGCATCTTTCCATGTGCTTGTTGGCCATGTGTGTATCTTCTTTGGAGAACTGTCTATTCATATTCTTGCCCATTTTTTATTTTATTTTTTATTTTTATTTTATTTATTTATTTATTTTCCTTTTTGTCTTCTTTACTGACCGGCAACG